TAAATCTATCTTTCAAATAGCCTTTTTGTTCATTGCTAGTCTTTTGGCTCAGCTCTTGTCAGATCTGATTTCTGTTTCAGTGTCAGGATATTTGACAAAGAACTAGTCCTGGAGTAAAAGTTGCGTCCGCACGGCTCTTCCCTGTCCCTGACCCGGGGCTTGCATTGTTGTTTGTAGTTTCAGGCCAGGGTTTTTGCAGGCTTGCTTGAAGTTGCTGTCTATTTTGTGCCAGTTAGTTTGGTTGAAGATGGTTAATATAATCAGGAAATCTATTCAACCAGGCAAACTGCGATTCTCAATACATTGAAAGGAAGCAAAGCTGTCAGCACCTTCCCACCCCCAGAGTTGTGGAATGCCTGTCCTTCTCTTTCCTTGGAGACTTTGTGTCCTCACGTGTTATGTCTATGACTCATGGAGATGCGGACCAGCTGAGGGACCTATCTCATACCATACACTGAGCCCGTGAACCTTTCTTTGTGTCTAATTTTTAGGTAAAAATTAATAGGCATAGATGTGAAAAGGCTTTGCCCATACCCAGTGGATCATTTCGTAAACCCCCAAGGTGTAATATTTGACCTTGGAGACCACCCGTAAAACCAATGCCTTCTCAATACCAGCATTTGCCTGGCCAACAGGCATCTTCAACTCAGCGTGTCTAAACAATGTATTTTATCCTCCTCCTTCCGTCTCAAGTAAAACCTGCTTCTCCCTCATCACAGTAAACAGCACCTCTATTTACCTTGTTGCTCAAATGGAAAATCTCGCATTCTTGACCCTCTCATTATGTCATGCTCCTCACCCAGTCCATCAGCAAATTTTGTCACATCTGCCTTCAGATTATATTCTGACTCTAAGTAGTTTTGTCTTCCTCCATCATTACTGCTCTATTCCAAACCACCAGCATCCTGGGCCCAGTCTGTTGTGACAGCCTCTGAGTTGTTTCCTACCCTTGCCTGACTCACTGCGTTCTCCACATCGCAGCCAGAAGGTCTATTAGAAACAGAAGTCAGACCATGCCATTCCCCTACACAAAACCTCCAACACACTTAGAGTAAGGTCTACTTTCCTTACCATGACCTTCAAGAACCTACATCATCTGGCCCTTGCTTGCTTTTTAGAATTCCTCTCCTATCACCCTGGCCCTTTCACTCTGTTCCTGCTACACTGGCTTTTTTTTTTTTTTTTTTTGCTAACAGGCAATACCATTGCAAGGCCGTTTCCCTAATTTCAGTCTGATCTCTGCTCAGAGAGGAAAGCCTGGCCACTCTTCTGAGACCGCAAACACACGAACTCCACCCCCACCCTTTGTCTTCCCTTCTTACCCTGTTTCACTTTTCTTCACCATACTTCCCTCTAGGTAACATTCTACTATATATTTATTGTCCATATTCTCCACTAGAATGAGAGTCCCTTGAGGGCAGGACCATGTCTGTCTTCTGTGCTATAGCCCCAGCTCCATTTAGAACAATACTCCGCACATAATTAGTGCTAAATATTTAACTGAATTAATGAATTTTCACAGGGACAACAGGTGACATCCCAAGGATAGCCACCCACATTAAGAGAAAAGAGGGCAAGGGGCAAATCTTTGGGGAAATATTTAAACTGAGGGCAAAAGAGTCACTCTAAAGGAAGTGACATCTCAGCCCCCGTTAACCAGACATGACGAGAATATAGCACGCACTGGGGAGCCCAGCCAGGAAGGCGTCAAGTCCACTGTCCCAACTCTAAGAACATTTTTGAATAGCAAACCTGAACACACACCAAGACCTGAACAGGTGTGACAGCTCAACCTCTGAGCCAGGGGGGTGCTCTCTCCTGTTATCCTGAAACACTCATTTAAAAGGGTTTCGAACCAGGATCCCAAGGCCACCGTGTGGTTCTAGCCTCTGAGCTGTGACAGAGCAGCAGCCCCTGAACACCCTGGGAATCCGCGGGGGCTGCTTGTGGCTTTCCTTCAGAAGTCAACGCGTGACTCTTAAGGAAACAGATGCTAGAGAGTGACCTCTTTTATTAGGTTCACCATCTTCACCACGGAGAGACCATAGTGTTTGTCCATAGCCTGAAATACTCAAAGGCCATCCTGTTGAAAAGAGGGTGAGCCTTCAGGTCTCTTTGTCCCCATTAATCCTGGTCCCTGCTGGTCTCTCTCGTTTGCATCAGAAAAGCTTTCTTGTATTTTTTTTTTTTTAAGAGGGGGAGAAAACAGCTGTGTAGGATTTGAGAATGGGATTTTAATGGTCGCTGAAGACACACAAAAGCTTTGCTGTGATCCTGAAGTATTCTGGGGGCAATTGACTTCTTTGTCTGGGGCAGCAAAACAAGCTGGCTGCTCAAGGAGAAAAGAGAACCAACTGGAACGTGTGATTGAGGTCTCTTCAGGCCAGATCTTCAGCACATTTGCAAAACAGTTTTCAGGCATGTCTTCAGAATCACTCTTTGCTGTTTAGCTCATTTTCACCTTGTGAAAGAAACAAATTAATTTGGAAAGTGCTTGGCAGGAATTATTTCTGTAGGTCTTTCTGGAAGGAAAATGGAAACTGTGAGCTACAGTATGAGTTTGTTTATGTGAAGCAGGCCTTTCACGGGGAGAAAAAAAGAACTGGTACGCTCCCTTCTGCAGGCTGGCCCGAGGGGCATTTCTCAGCCCTTTGCTCAGTTGGAAAATTGCAGCAGATGTGGGACATTGTGAAGCTTCTCAAAATGTAACCTCGAAAAGGCTTTGGGGGTGTAAATAGTTCTAAGGACGCGAGCGGACACCTGGAGCTGAGGGAGCCCATCCAGTTAGGCTTTCCAGGGAGAACCAGAGCTTTTCTTGTGTGCCCGTGGAAGGGACCTGTTTTCCACCAGAGGAACTATGACCATGCTGATCTGACTCTAAGTTATGGTTAGTGAGGCTTTGAAATCATTGCCATCATCTGGCGTTTTCCCGTTAGGCAATTGAATTTTACAAAAATGGAAATGGCTTGGCTAGAGGGGCTCCGGACAGCCTCGGTTTTATTTACTGTCTGCCAGCCTCCACGACAGTTGACTCCTTAGAGCCAGGAAGGAGTTATTCTTTCCCTCCTGGCCTGCGGGCCCTAGGATAGTCAGGTGGGACACAGGATAAGAAGACACAAATTCGTAATACATAATTCAGCCCAGCTTTTCATGGGAGATGAGCTGAAACCAGAGTCATCAGGGAAAACACTATCCAGGGAGGCTGCATTTAGAGACTAGGTCCGGAATTTTAGACTCTTGTCTGCCACAGGTCTAGGCGTCAGACTCATTATATTGGTTGCCGAGAAAGCAAGAGTTTGGTTCACTTGTAATTTTTTTTAATATGATAAAATTAAATAAAAATGATACCTGAATATTAAAGAGACAATCCAAACAACCTAAAAAAGTATTAAAATTTAGATTTTAGAGTAGAATTTATGGATTGATTATGTTTAATTGTAGACCTAGTATTTGAAATGTGGCATATTTTAGCTTATTATGATTTAGAAAAAAACCTTGTTTTGGGGTTTTTTTTAGATTATGAAGTGAATAATGAAAAGACATTTTTATTAATGGTAATAGAGAACTTTGCCATGTTTAACCCTGAAAGTGTATATGCAGATTGCATTCATCAGATAGCGTGAAAACAGGTATTTCCCCTCACAGACATTAAAGAGATATAATAGCTAATTTTATCATGTGATATTTTGATTTCTATTCCTCAGCAGCTTAAGTATGAGAGAAAATGTGTTTATTCTAGTCAGACTCCCCTAACGCCACAGAAAGAATCCTTGGAAAAGTCTTGAATTATGATTCAGTCCGCACTTTTGCTAGAGACCTCTCTCCCCCTTAAACTCAAAGCTCTTAATCTCACCGTAGGTGTATCTCATAGACTAGCTGTGGGACCTTGGCCAAATCATTTAACGTCCTTAAGTCTCTGTTCTGTAAAATGGAGTTAATAATAGCACCCAACTCCTTAGGGTTGTTAGATCCTTAGGGTTGTTTTTAGGGATAATTGAGATAATGTATGTAAAGCTTTTGGCATGGTGAATAGGAGATCGTGAATACTCAGTAAATGTTAGCCATTAGAAAGGCTCTTTTGATGGTTATGTTGATGTTTGAATATGATACTAGAGAACCCATTTAAGCATATATACTTTATATTCATATTCTAAAACAAGATGTAAATCTACATTTAACTAACAACACCAGAAATATAGTCAGAAGCATAGTTTATTAATTTCCTTATAGTTTATTCTTTGGGGAGACATTTAGCATGGTTTACTCTTCATAACATATTAACTTTATTATAAACATGAAGCATGTTGTGTTGGAGAGCTTATTGGTAAGACTCTCGAGATTACCCTCCCCACAGCCACCAGAGAGTGAGACCCAGCTCTGGTCATATTCCTCTTCTTTCAATGGCTCCTCCACCTGAAGAAGAAAACCCAAATGCCTGGCATTCAAGAATTTTTAAAATCTATCCCAACCTTCCTTTCTTCCCTCTCCTCCTATATGTCATGCATGACTTTTTATGACCTGCCCCTTTTCCTTCTTGGAGAGATCCTATTCATCCTTTAAGGTCCCACATCAATGTGGCCTCCTCTAGGAAGCCTTCAGGGATGCCATCAGCCAGAATTAATAGCACCCTCTTCTCTGTTCTTTCAGCGTTAGGCCTGTGTTCAATGAATGATTTTCACTTTATAATCCTTCTCACAGCCCTGTGAAATAGGAAAAGTCATCAAGTGCTTGTGCTCAAAAATAATTAGGACTGCTGTGATCCCTGTTTCCAAGGAGCTCATGATCTAGGGACCATGTGAACACCTCTAAGAGTGGGCAACAGGGATCATGGCAAGAGGTGTACACGGAAGACCCAAAGATGGTACACATTCTGTATTCAGGGTTTTTGTGTGGAGGAGCGTGGGGTCAATGCCATCTATTTACCTTTATCTCTAGCACTCATATCATCCTTCCTTGGCTTCTGTGCCCTCACTGACCAGATCATTTCCCCCTTTGGCTAGTCAGTTGCAGGGCTGGGACATATTATGATGGAGCACAAGAACGCTGCATTTTGTGTCCAAATGGAACCTTCCAAAATGAGGAAGGACAAATCACATGCGAACCTTGCCCAAGACCAGAAAATCCTGGAGCCCTGAAGACTCCAGAAGCTTGGAATGTATCCGAATGTGGAGGTAAGGGTTCCGCCTGCCCCTTCTTACTCCTCTGGTTTCCAATATTACTTAGACAGAGAGGGTAAGTAGCATTTCAGTGCAAACAGTGCATATTGCACTGTGGGCTTCCTACGGGCAGGGACCATATTGGCTTCATCTTTGGCTCTCCAGTGCCTACCTCCGTGCCCAACACATGCTGGGCTGATGCTCACTTGAACAAATAAATGAAAAGCTGATAGAATACATTGGCAAAAGAAAAGGTGTAAGTGTTGCTGTTGCAATCTGTACTCATTGTAATTAAATATACCTTGAGACCTGAGTGATCTCCCAGTGTACGGGGGGCTATCTGCAGGTGTTAACATGGAGAAAGTAGTTCTGATTAATTTTTCAACTTTGGTCTCAAATTCATACCTTATTGATTTTTTTTTTTTAAGATTTTATTTATTTGTGAGAGAGAGAATGAGAGACAGAGAGCATGAGAGGGAGGAGGGTCAGAGGGAGAAGCAGACTCCCCGCTGAGCAGGGAGCCTGACGCGGGACTCGATCCCGGGACTCCAGGATCATGACCTGAGCCGAAGGCAGTCGCTTAACCAACTGAGCCACCCAGGCGCCCCCCCTTATTGATTTTTAAAGAGCATCCATCTGGTTTTTTTGTTAGAACTCTGTGAAGAGTTTTTAATGTCCCTTATAAAATGTTAACTCTGGAGCCAAGCTTACTTAAGTTTTGTGGGCGTGGTTCCTATTTATTTTATTAACAAATGTCTTACTTTTATTAAATGGAAGAAGGGCCAGCTGTATTGATGCTCTGTGGGCTCAAAGAGAAGGTATGATCTGTGGGCTCAAAGAGAAGGTGTGATCTAACACTGCGGTGTGTAGGTGACGTCCACGGCACAGAGCACAAGACACTCTGCGACCCCTGCCTCTCTCCCCAGTGACTCCCAGTGCCAGCTTTAGTTCCCACCTACACCACCCCAGACTCAACTGCAGGACCTTTCAAATGGTTTAAAAGTCATGGGGCGCCTGGATGGCTCGTTCGGTTGTGTCCAACTCTTGATTTTGGCCCAAGTCATGATCTCAGGGTCATGAGATGGAGCCCTGTGGTGGGCTCCACACTCAGCAGGGAGTCTGCTGGAGATTCTCTCTCCCTCTCCCTCTGCCCCTCCCCTCCCCCCGGGCCAACTGCAGGCTTATAAGGAGGCACTTGGGGCATCTACTTACACTTATATGTGACCTTATTAAGATATATTTATAGTAATAATAATACTAGTAATAATAACAATTGCTAACATTTATTGAATATTTACCTATGCCAGACATCATGCGACATGTATTACATGAATTATTCCTATGGTTGTTGTAACATTACAACAACTTTGTGAGGCTAAAGTGAGTCATTGAAGGTCACACAGTCAGAGTCGAAGATTTGGAATCAGAATTTAGGTCTAACAGACCCCAGACTCTTCCCTTGGGTGTGTGTTCATTAAATGCCATTGTATCTATAATCTATGGGTAGAAAGAAGACCATGAAATTTAATAAGGGAGAGATGATCAGCAGTACAAGAGACAACAGATTTTCATAATGTCTTGGCAGTGACAAGCTAATGCCCAAGGAACATGTGCTTTTAGAAATCTTTTTGTTTATGGCTGTGCTTCTTGTCATAAACTTAAAAAGTACTGAAGTAAGGTGTTTAAAGTAAATGCCACTAGGTCCCTCTATCAATGTGGATTAGATTGGTTGGATTTTGTAGAGGGAGGCCGGGACACGCTTTAGTGTGAGATGTGACTTAGTAAATAGAACTGATAAAACAGGGAGACTCTTCCATGACATCACTAGGATGCAGTCAGCTGGGTGAGGATGCACTTCTGGCTTGAATTACCAGATTGATTCCAGAGCAGAGGACCCTCCCTGGGGGCTCCTGCATTGCAGTCACTGGCTGGACACTGTGGAGTCCTCAACCTTAAGCAAACCCAGGCCTGGTGCCTACGGTGGAAGCTGTTAACACTTGGCTCCTTGGTCTCCATCTCTGCCCTGTGCTTTGTAGCCCTGTGTGTAAACATCAGGCGCTCACATGCCATCTGCTCAGGGGCAGTGGTGGGGCAGGACAGGGCTTCTCTCACTGAGGTGGGAGCCCAGGTCAGCACGAGGCCACGGGTCTGACCAAATTCTGAGCTCATCGACAGAGAGATGGGAAGGGGTCTGCCCTGGGGCCTTGCTCATTGAGGGTCATTGGTTTTTCCCAGGTCTGTGCCAACCTGGGGAATATTCTGCAGATGGTTTTGCACCCTGCCAGCTCTGTGCCCTGGGCACATTCCAGCCTGAGGCCGGCCGAACTTCCTGCTTCCCCTGTGGGGGAGGCCTCCCCACCAAACACCAGGGAGCCACTTCCTTCCAGGACTGTGAAACTAGAGGTGAGGACTTGGCAGCTTGTCTTTTTCCAGAACTGAATTTCCCTTTTGAGAACCACGGGAGTCTGGTAAAGCTCCGATCAAGCCCAGTCCGGAGGTGCCCGGTGTGGTATCCTGGTGGCAAGAGGTCAGGGCCCAGCTCCATCCGCCCCTGCAGGAAGTGCGGGGAGCATGGGAACTCCCTAGATGTGTTCTTCCCCAGCCACCTGGGCCCCTGCAGATGGGGCCGACTGGTCTGGGAGAGGTGAGCAGGTTTTGTGCAATAGGTTCTTGGCTCCTTCTTTCCAGTCTTCCTCCATCCCAGGCCCCTTCCCTGCAGCTCCCCTCTCATATAGGTCCTACCTGTCCCCAGAGCCCCACCGCCGCCTCCCCCAGGGACCCAATCCCAGGCCGGGCATCTGTTTGGCAAGCTCAGAATCCACAAGCGTGCTCTGCATGAAAACCTGGGCTGTGCTCATTTATGCCTGACTGCATGCACTGTAAATGCTTTGAAGATACACCCATACTTTGTTCCCTTTGTATTTTTCTCAGTGTCATGAGTCACAAGTCCACCCAAGCTGGCTATTTAGGGAATTAAGTGTTGATTAGCCCTAGATTAGTAGGAAAGCAGTACTTCATTTGGGCATACAAATTTATTTCACAAACTGTGAAAACTTTATGTGACCGGTCATGAAAATAGTTGTGTTTTTTTTTTTTTCATTCTTTCCACTCTCCCCCAACCCCACAGTTCAGTGTTCACCTGGACATTTCTACAACACCACCACTCACCGATGTATTCGCTGCCCAGCAGGAACATACCAACCTGAATTTGGAAAAAATAATTGTGTTTCTTGCCCAGGAAATACTACCACTGACTTTGACGGCTCCACAAACATAACCCAGTGTAAAGGTAGGTCTCTCTAAGGCTTTCACAGTCTTGACCAAGAGGAAAGTGCCTGGGTCCACCTGACGCTGGGGGGGTTGGGGCAGGTGTCCCACGTCCACTGAGAACCATGAGGACACTGTTCGCCCAGCTTCCGGTGCCCCAGGTTGGCGCTAAAGGAGAGCCAGGCTTGGCCCCCAGGTACTCAACTGTGTTGATCCTGGCTGCTTCTCTAGGCACCTTGATAGGCTATACTTGCTGACATTTCCTCCCAGGGGCAGAATTTCAGTTCAGCAAACATTGTTTGAGGACCTGTTACATGCTAGACTGCAAACAGAGTAAGTCCCTGGCCCTGTAGATAGCACAGGCTGTGGGATTGCCGAGGAAAGAACAATTCGTTCTGTCTGGAGAGATGAGGAAAGGCTTCTGGAGGGCATGTGAAGGTTTTGATGGAGAGCATGGGAGAGAGCAGGACAAAGAACGTTATACCCGAGACAGGAGCCGCGAGGAAGCACAGACTCAGAAAAGTGAAAGGCTTTTTGGGAAGAGACCCCTGGACCTGGATCATGCAATGTTTGAGGGGAACCTGAGGCAGATCAGGGAGGGAAGCCTTGAATGCCACACAAAGGATTTGGATTTGTATCCTATAGGAATGGGGAAGCAGATCATTCAAGGACTTGCCACATGGTTGGCTGGTTGGTTGGTTTTTATTTTTATTTTTTTTATTTTTTAAAGATTTTATTTATTTAGTTGACAGAGAGAGACACAGCGAGAGAGGGAACACAAGCAGGGGGAGTGGGAGAGAGAGAGAAGCAGGCTTCCCGCGGAGCAGGGAGCCCGATGCGGGGCTCGATCCCAGGACCCCGGGATCATGACCTGAGCCGAAGGCAGACGCTTAACAACTGAGCCACCCAGGTGCCCCGGTTGGTTTTTAATCATTATGTAAAATTCTCCAGGAAATGTTAGAAGTAAATTGCAGCTAATCTATTGTCAGTAAGACAGCGGTGTAGGGGAGCAAGGAGGTCTCCCCACACTGGAGGAATTTGGGATTGAGGTTCAGTGTTGGAAAGTTCTTCCCTGGGTGCCTAGGTGGCTCAGTTGGTTGAACGAAGGCCTTCAGCTCAGGTCATGATCCCGGAGTCCCAGGATCGAGTCCTGGATCAGGCTCCCTGCTCAGTGGGGAGTCTGCTTCTCCCTCTGACCCTCTCCCGTCTCATGCTCTCTCTCTCTCTCTCTCAAATAAATAAATATTTTTTGTATGTGAGTAAAGCAATAGAAGTTTATTAAGTAAAGATACAGAAAAAGCTCTCAAGAATGAGAGGGGTCCCGACAGGGTTGCCAACGAGGAATAAATAAAATCCTTAAAAAAAAGAAAGAAAATTATTCCCGATACCCAGATGAAATCTGTTTCCTTGCCCTCCCATCCCCGGCCCTTGGTCGGCCCTGAGAAGCCACATGGCACAGATCCTCAGGTGGTCCTTCAGACTTGAAGGCAGTTTTCTGAGCTCCATGGCTCTCCCCACTCGACCCCCTTCCAAGAAGAAAAGCCTGTTTATTTTTTCTAATGGTAATAATAATTCCCAGTTACAATTAGAGAGGAAAAAGTCCCTTCAACATCCTCTCTTGTACACATTCACCTGACAGTTTTAAACAGTAAGCGCCTTGAGGGCAAAGACTGTGTCTTTCTCATTTCTGAACCCCCAGAGATTTTGCTAACATTTGTTGGGTGAGTGGAGAGTCAATGAATGAAGATATGAGTGAGCTGGGTGTGTGTGTGTGTGTGTGCGTGTGTGCATGTGTGTGTGTGCACGCATGTACTCCTTGCTTTTGGGGCCAGAGGTGAGTATCCAACATGCCCCATACTGGCTGATACCCTATTGGAATTCCCTTCCACACCAAAAATAAAATGTGGTCTTGGCCAGAAAGAAAAGAGAAAGAATATGGCTATCATGAAATCATCCAAGGTCTCTAGGAAAGGGTCAAATATCCTGTAATTCACAGTAAGCTCTGTTCTTCCTATTTTGACAGACCTAGAAGTTCTGTGTCATGGGTTCCCCTGGCACTTAGACTTTGTAAACAAAATACTGAAAACCAAAGTTGTCCTTTGTTTCACTAAGGCCTGCTCAGGATCACCTTCAAGTTAATGAGAAAATGGTAACTCAGAGGGGGACTCAGTGGGGTGAGCTCTGTGTGGGGAGTTAGTGGAGTTGGGCTCCCATGGGAGCGCTAGGCATTACAGGACACACTAATTCCAGGATGGTGCCATCTGCAGGCCCCATGCCCTGATGGCAACAGGGATGCAGCAGTTTTCATCAGCCGAGCTGCTGGTGGCCATGGTGGACTGATGACAGTGTTGTGCCTTCATGACTCATGGCATTTCCCCTTCCAGATAGAAGATGTGGAGGGGAGCTGGGAGATTTCACCGGATACATTGAGTCCCCAAACTACCCAGGCAATTATCCAGCCAACACCGAGTGTACATGGACCATCAACCCACCACCCAAGCGCCGAATCTTGATTGTGGTCCCTGAGATCTTCCTGCCCATTGAAGACGACTGTGGGGACTACCTGGTGATGCGGAAAACCTGTGCGTCCCCTCTCTCTGCCCCCCCCCTTCTAAGGCTGGTGGGGAAGCCTGCTGGCCTGCTTCCCAGCTTTAAATGTGGGCAGCAACCCTAGGGTGTCACCTCCATATTAGAACAGAGATGGACATGAGTTTATAGCATTTGCCAAGAAACAAAATTTAGACAAAGACCCACCTTGAGGCCTCTCGTTGAACCCCAGAGGTAGTGATTCTGCAGGCCAGTCTTTCCCTCTGGGCTCACCGGGGACCCTTCCACAACATCACGGGGAGCCAGTGAAGCTCATGGAGGGCTGCCCCACACACTTGCTTCACCATGGGAAGCCACTCGGGCTTGGGGACTGACCAAGGCTAAGGTCATAGTCCAGCCAGGAGGGACCCTCCTCCCATCTTGGTGCATGACCCAGGGTCCATTGAGAGACACTGCCATCAACACAACTTCCAGGCAGTGTAGTGAGTGGGCCCAGCAGCCAGATTGCCTGGATCTGAACCCAGCTTCACCTCTTGTTAATTCTGTGGTCTTGGACATACATTCTGGATCTTTCTGTCACTCAGTTTCCTTGTCTGTTAAAATGGGGATAATAATAGTTGCTGCCTCATAGAGTCATCATGAGGAATAAACGAGTTTATATTCCTAAAGCACTGAGAGTAACACAGAGCCACGATGTGTTTGCCACTCTGATAGTGGTTACAGTGTCTGAAGTCAGCTGCACAAACTTCTCTGGTTTTCAGAGGGTTAAGTGAGATAAGGTCCATAAAGCGCATCCCACCGGGCCCCACCTGGTCTTAGGAAGCCATCAGGGATTGGTGGTGATTCTTACTGGAGGGCAGCAGGTAGCTCTGGAGCACTGGGGCCTGCTGTTTCTCTAGCCCTGGGCCTTTCAGTGAGCCTGCCTTGGGGGCCTGCAATCACCAGCCAGTCCTCTCAATTTCCAGGGCTTTGGCCCCTGTGATGGCAAAGCTGGGCCTGAAGAGCTCTTGAGCATAACTTGTGTATGGTGTATTTGAAAAGATGAGTGTTGTTGTCTGCCTGCTCAGGATGAGTCTTGAAGCCCACCCCCCTCCAACTTCCCTTGGCAGCTTCATCCAATTCTGTGACAACATATGAAACCTGCCAGACCTACGAACGGCCCATCGCCTTCACCTCCAGATCAAAGAAGCTGTGGATTCAGTTCAAGTCCAATGAAGGGAACAGTGCCAGAGGCTTCCAGGTCCCTTACGTGACATACGATGGTAAGCACTGTGAGGCTCAGGCTGCATCCCACGCAGGGAGCTTCTCTGCTTTCAGTTGAACTAACCTCTGGGCCAGCTGGTGGATTGCTGACAAGTACACATGCTCAGAAAGGCAGGTGGGATAGGGAGAAAGGACATTGCTGACTCACAGGTGCCGAATTTTATTTTATTTTATTTATTTTATTTTTTTTAAAGATTTATTTATTTATTTATTTGAGGGAGA